TTAAAATAAACTTCGTTTGACATTATAAAACAAGAATCATGGTGATAATTACACAGGTAGATTCCTTTAAGTCCTGTGATCACAAAACTGCAATGAGAGGACAGTAGACCTAACCACTGCTCGCAAAGCTGGTCATGGCTTCCACTGCCCCAGTTCACTCTGCCGCGCTCTACTGAATGAGGAAGCCAGACATCTGGCCTAATAGGGTGTCCTTTATTTATTGGGCTGTACATGATGGCAAGATGGGTCTTTTAGCTTCTGAACAGGATTATTCTGTCCTTCAAAAAAGAAAAAAAAAAGGCAAGATAACCAGATTCAGGTCACCTAAATGCATTTAAATAAATCCTGATGGATAATTTCTTCTCATAAAGAATTTTCTTTATCTGGGTGTGATCACTCCAGGTAGGAAAGCCTGACATAGGCAAATATTCTCAGAGGAAATGGTATGTCTCCCAGTGTATTGTGGAGGCCAGTTCATGTTGCTGTTCATAACACGGCATGAGAATCATTTGAAAGCAAAGGCCCTCAGTAGGAATTTCATTACATCCTATATTTAAGAATTTAAACAAGGGTTAGCACATAGTAGATGAGTAAGAAATATACTCAAAGTATTCTGCACTTCTAATAATAATATATTGATATTGTAATAATGTTTTATTTTTGGAATTCTTACGTGAAAACCACAGGATCTTCTTAGAGATATTTCTAAAGGCTTGGCCTGAGGTACTTTCTCTCAAGTTTTAGTTGTGACCGTCTCAGCTCCTCTCCATCCATCACTGCAGTCATCTCTCATCCATTGGTATCATCAGTCCCAATCTCTGCCCCATCCTCACTGAACTGGCTACTTGCAAATCTGGACCTCCTACACTGAATTCCTTTGGATGGCACAGTCGTAAGAATCTTCTGGTGACCAGAAATTAAATATGAAGGAACAACTGTACTTTGCTACTTACAGAAGTCTTTTGAGTGTAAAAAACAGAACAATTCAGGCAGTAGAATGCAGGCAGAAAGCAACCATGGAAATGCAGAAAGGGATACAGCACAAAAATTAACTTAACAGGGTTTTAAAACTGTTCAATTAGAGAAGATAGAAACATATGAAAAAAGAATAGGATGCTGTCCATAGGAAAAGTTAGAAAAGAGAAAGGCTTAAAAGGTTTAACATTTAACTAATAACTATATATTTGACTGAGAAGTGGAATAAAAGAATAGTGAAGAAAATCCACAGAGTTTTTTTTCTTATATAGTTTTCAGACACTGAGATTGTTCTCCTTGTGTATGTAGGGAAAGAAAAGAATGTCAAACCAAAACCTTTCAGAAAATTCAAGCAAAGAGACAGTACTGACAGTTTGGACAGAGCAAAACAAAATCTGATTACATACAAGGATACAGATCTACACTAATCAGAATCACAGTGGACTTCTCAAAAGCAACGAAGAAAATAAATGATATTGGGAAAGTAATTTGAATACGTTGAACAAATTTATTTTAAACTACAATTTTACAGCTTAAGAAGAGGTTAGAGTCAAGATATTTTGATTTTTTTTTTTTAGCTCCGAACGCCTTCAGGGCAGGTTTTGGTGGCTTGAGTTGTGGGGATCGAACCACAGCAACCTGAGCCTGATTGCTTTGTTGAAGCAGCCACTTAAAGAACTGAGCTAAGGGGCAGTCCCCCAAATGGCAGGGTTTTTTTTTTTGTTTTTTTTTTGACATTTTGGTTTGGAATCTGCTTCCAGTTCCAGTCAGGCAGAAAGCAAGACAGAAACATTTCTAAATAAAGAATCAAATATAGGATGCAGGACATAGGGGGTCAAGCCTTAAAAAGAAGAAAGAAAAACCCAAGAGGAAATTTCTGGGGCAGAGTTAATGTAAAACCCGACTAGATCCAGTAGAAAATCTGAGAGTCTAGAAAGCCATTGTAAGGAAGAGCATTTAATCACTGAGTGAAATAAGAATTTAAAAGATTTTCAAGAATTTCTAACAGGTATGGCAAAACATAGCTGTATCAAAAAATAGGTTATAAATTCATAGAAGAACCAATTTAGCATCCAAATAAAGCTTCAATATAATATTATAAAACTCAGTGCATGATTGATAATATTTACACTTATAACACTTTACTGAACATTAATAACATGACCAATGTTTTTAAAGTGAGTTTGCTAGAAATAGTATGGGTGGGGGACTAAACTCAAAATAAGAAAGGAAGTCAAAAGGAGATACATTTTGGTTTGGGGAAGTGGGCAAGATAATTATCTTCCGAAATATAAAATAAAAAATATAATATCAATAAATGGAAGAATAAATGCTATGCAGAAATACAGGAATAAATGCTAAAAGTGAAAGATAAAGAGACTTTTTAAATACGTTCAATGATAAGGGGGTGTGTATGCGTGTGTGCACTGGAAAACCATGATACATGACACCTTTGTATTTTGTTGTGCTTTATAATACTGATGTTATATATTAGAATTTTGAAACATAAAATCTGACTTTATGTGTTACTCTAATAAAGATTTAAAATTATTAGGAAATATATACATATTATTTTGGATTATTAAAAACACTTAGATTATGCATAACAAACATTTGAAATCAAACCATATTTTAAAAATCAATGGTTTTCAGAACATCAGCTCTAGTTTCATTCACTCTGGGATCCTTAGGACTTCACGTGTATAAGCGGCAAGGGATGTTCTTCTTGCATGTATATACTGTACCATAAATTCTACTCCCATTTAAACCATGATAATGTGTATTAATCCTTATATTTGACAGTAGCCATTTCACAAGAATGGCCATGGGAAGAAACTATCACAGAAGAACCAGGAAAACAGACAATCATGGAGTATGATGCAGGAACTGTTTTAAAATTAGTTCATATTCATCATATCTTGTCAAAAGAGAACAAGTTTAGCAATGTAAGTGAAAACTTTGAACTAGAATACTTCTAATCCAAGCATATTTACTACAGAAACAAAATATGTAAAGAAAGGAGAATTTTTTTTCATATAGTGTGTGTCAGAATGTAGATGATTATGGCATAAGAAAAATAAAATGTATTCCTTTCTGTGTCTTGCAAGTTATAAAGCAATTAAATTTCTTGAGTTCAATGTCGCTGGTGGCTTTTTATGTATGATATATGTTACAATTGATTAGCAAAGGGCATTCAGAACCCTCTAGTGTTAACCATAACCATGGATGTGGTAGTCAGTGGGATTATTACAGGAAAAGAAAATGGAGGTAGAGCATGGAATGCAACCAGGTTTTTACATATTAGGCAAGAAGTGATAATATTTAACAGTGGTGAACTCTGAAGAGTTTTATTAGAAAACATGTCCTGGAGGCAAGAACAACTAAAAGAAACAAAGAAGGTCTCAACTTGAAAAGCACACTGTTTACGTCTTATTTTGAACTGACAGTCAAGAGAAATAAATAATTTCTCCCACACATTATTTGTCACATTCCGTCTGTTCCTTATTTGTATATTTCTTCTGAGTTTGAATGCTGCTTTCTCATCAATAATAGAATTTTAGTTTTTCTTTTAATATTTTTGCTCAACTTGTAATAGCTCAGGTCAGTTCTGAGCAGTTCACACCAATAAACATTTCTCCGCTTCCTAAATCAATTTGTCCAGAGGAACTGCCCCTAGACAAACTCTATCTCTTCGGTTGATAGCTACGATCAAAATAATTCAGAAGTTGCCCCATAACTCTTGACATGGAGGTAGACCATGGAATGCAACCACGTTTAGGGGTCTCCTGCTGTTCTCAGCAGGGATAGCGCGGTAAATATTTCATAATCAAGACACATTACTGGTAAGTCTAATTGCTTGGGTAATGACTTAAAACCTTTCAATTTCCTTCCAAAGCAGTACAGTACAGTATTTTTCCAGTCCAAAGCTGGTGGCAGTTACAGAAAAGTAGCAATGAGTGTTTCTTTAAATAGAAGAGATTTCCTTGTGGGCTTTCACTGCCAATGTTCAGTGACCACTGATTTCCTATTTTACTCAGCAAAACTGTATTTTATTCATTAGAGGATAAAGCACATTGTGAATCTATGAAGAAGCAACTGTATAAAATTTAGAGGAAAACTGCTACTTGTCTGAGCTCTCTGGGACAGAAATTTGCATGCACACTTAGAACAATTTTATTTTTCCTATTCAATTCTTTTAATGAATTATGGGATTTCTCCTCGCTTTGTCATTTGGGACTTCAAGCTGCTTAGTATCCACAGGGAGTATTATCAGAGATTACACAGTACTCAAAGTGATTGGAAAGAGAAGCCCATGCTCTGGTACATATTCATAATGTGCAACCTGAGCTCTTGAAATATAATAGAAATCACAATAGGCCTCTTTCCTTGAAGGCGCTTGCCATGGGCTCCCTCTAAACGAGAACATACATTTCTTCAGGGACCTGTGCAGGACTTCTAGGCTATACTCATTCGTGTCCTAGAGTAATGATCAGAAACAGGAGTGGAGTCACGTCATGCATAGAATCAGGGGGCTATTCTTCTGGCATAGAAAAGTCACTTATAAATCACAATCCTTTCTTGGAATTTACACCATATCTGCCACCACAGAAACTTCTATTAAGGTATGATTTTATGCACATATATTTATGTGTGTGTGTGTGTGTGTGTGTGAGCAGATATTTATGATAAATGGCTAGAGGTGGACCAAGTAACATACATGTGATGGGGATAACACTTGAAACAGAACTTGAGAACTGCAAGTGTCTACATTTTGATATAAAGTGAGCTATTTTTGCTCTGACAAGTTAGTGAACTAACATTTTGTATCATTTTCTTCGTGTCCCTTTTTCATCACACAAACCAACTACACAAACTGGACAATGCTAGTGGTTGACGGATTATCACAAATAATGAACAATCGTTCATATGTGGTCTGGTTATAGTGCTAAAAATATCTCAACACAGAGGAAAGGTGGACAGCAAACAGCAAGTACGGCCAGGTATAATTCCAAAGGGAGTTTTACCAAAGACAGTCAGCTCCGCTGGGTCACTGTCCCTCTCTCCCACCATGTTGGCGCCGACACAGGTGTACATCCCAGCATCGCTCTTCCTTGTATTGGAGATCATCAGTTTCCCTCCACGAATCTATTCAGATTAAACAAAAAGTCAAGAAAAGAGAAAGAAGCAGGAAGAGAAACAAGAGCCAATGAGTAATAATTCTGAGTACTTAAACATATTTCCTTTGCAAAAGACAGCAGCTGTAGCTAAGATACAAGTCATGCTTGCTATTGCAAGAGTGATTTACTTTATGGATTCAACCTCAACATCAGTCTCTGTATTGTGGAATGATTGCCTGGCCCGGTCCTATTTTGAATCACAGTACAGTTTTGATTGAACCTCATGGTTTGTCTTCATGCTGAGATGCTTTTGAAGGAATTGCTATTTTCATTTGTTATCAGACAGTTATAGCACATATTTGCATTGGATAGTACAGCACAAACCACTTTAAGTGGAATCACCAAGTATTTATTGAGCATTTATTAGGGTCAGGCAATATATGAAGCATTCAGCACTTGGTAGCAAGCCAAATAGCAAAAATCCTTGACTTTATAAGCCTTGCATTTCAATTGATAGTGCTAATTATTCTTGTTTTATCTCAATTATAATTAAGAAATAATTTTTGCTGGGAGGACAGGTTGGATAAAAACCAATGCGATTATATAACATACTCATTTTGATTATAGAAACCAGTATGAATTGATACAAAGTATAGACATTAACAAGTGTTCTCTAAATAAATATTTCAATGAGAAGCATTTGTTGAGTAAATGAACAAAGACAATAACAAAAAAAGTCTGCTAAAAGTAATATCAAATTAGAACTATTTTAATGGTGAATAAATAATGGCTCATTGTTTTCTTCTAGGATTTTAAATTAATCTAATGTAGCATTTTTAACTTTAGAGTGATTGAGCATTGTTACTGATGCATGAGATAAGAACATACTGGCTCCATTTTTTAAAAAATTTCATATGTAAGCAAATCTCATGGAGGCTTGTTCTTAGCAGAGATAAATGAAAAACTTAGTTTGAAATCTGCCATATGATAGAAAAAGATTTTCAGTTGTTTTTTATCTGAGAAGAAAAGACTATCAATATATCCTCATTGAAACTATGCTATAATGGTAATTTCTAAAAATGATCATCAACTAATTTGAAATTGAGCTTGACAGTATGACTTAATTTGACCAAGTAAATATTTTGCCTATAAAGAAATGCTTTGCTGGCAAATGAAAATGTGTACACATATGAATGTGCCTTCACTTGTTGCAGCTGGACTCTGAGACAACAAGGCCAGCCTGAACTACTCTACTGAAAAGTGAAAAACAGTGGACTGAAAGACGGAGCTATCTACCTATGCGCCAGGTCACTGACAAATGGGAGTAGGGTCATGCTAGATCATTCAGCCGCGAGTGTACTTTTGAACAAGCCATGGTGGATGAGAAGATAGTGGACAGCAAACAAGCTGATCAGGAAAGAACCATCAGCTTTCCTATGCAATAATGCCCTCAATTAAATTGTTCCATAAACCATGTGACGTTGGGATGGTTTGTTACAGAGCAAAAGCCAAATAACACATTTCCAAAGTTTTGATAGCCAAACCTGGAGCCTTAAGAACCGGACTGGCTTGGGGAATATAGATCCTCACAGTGTTAACAGTAAACGCCAAAGGAGGTACATGTATGTACATGCTGCGATTACACACATGACCTACCAGTTCTGTGCTACACTTTAATCTAGATGTGAGCATGAGACGCATCGTCACTTTAATAAATGCATTTTCAACGATAAGACTCAAAGTAGATGAACTTTTCATTGGAATATGGCATTTGCTCAGTCAAATACACAATTATTTGACACAAAAGAAAAAAATTCATTTTCAGTTCTATTACTGACTCTAAAAATTTTACTGCCAAACATCAGAAGATATATTTTGCTTGAGTGGGTAGGGGCTTGCAGATACATTTCACAAGCAAACATTAAGTGCATCTGCTACTAAATAAAATGATTACATGCTATTCCCTTGCTCTAATTCATTGTCACTTTCTGGTGTCTTCTTTTCAATCTTAAATCAATTGATAAACTTGATCTTCAGCTTTATTTCGGGAAAAATGTGTTTCTACTTGAACTAAACTGCAGAAGCAGTCAGTTTTATAGATATTTCACTTCTTTTAAATTTACTTTAAAATTGATGTATGCAAATTTTCCCATATTATTTTATTGGAACAACAAGAATAAGTGAGATGTTCATCACCTCAAATAATTTCCTCTTGTAATTTTGAAAATGGTGCAAAATGAGATGCAGTTACTCTAGCTCATGGATATCATTTTTGCTTTGACATTTGTAAGGAGGCCTTCAAGGACTTTAAAAAAGTGAAGCATCAATGTCACCCTGCAAGGTATGTTTACATATTCAGGTGCTATAATTCTCAGTACACAACACACACCTTATTTGTATAACTAGTCTTTGAAGCCTTACGCCAGTTTTTCTTTTTAATTTTATGTAAAAAAAAAGGGAAAACAAAATTTCATAATCAAATACCAGCAGAATAACAATACTTAGCATACTGAATATGTTATTTTTAAGGTAAATTACTCAAAGACAGTTTTTTAAAGTCCTTTCCAAGCACTTTAAATAATAACCCTCCCTAAATATAATTTTATTCACAACAAATTACGGAATAAAATATATTCATATCTAGATATGGAATTCAAACTCCTAGATTTCCAGGGCAGACGAACTTACACTTATTCTTTCTTCCTTGTCATCGATGCGAACTTTGTCTTTCTTCCAGTAGATGGTGGGCTCGGGGTGACCCCGGGGGGGCTGGCACTCCAAGATCGCAGGCTCTCCAGCTGCCACGACCACATCAGTGGGGTTTTGCCGGAAGTCATCTCGTAACACTGAAGGAAAAAAGATTAAAATAGAAGAAAACTCAATTCAGTACTCCAGTGTTTTCTTGAAGCAGGTAGCTTCAAGTTTTACTTGTTCTAGTAAAATGTTGCTTGAATATTTACTGAGGTCATACCATTCGCATCTTAAGGTATTTTAGAGCCAGCATTCAAGCTTAGTAATAGGAGAATGGGTGATTATATGGTCATGAACTTTGGCTCAAAAATACAATTTTAATACTGTGATGAGTCTCAGGACAAATAGATAACAAATAGTTATGATATAGTTGGAGATTTAATTAAAAATAAGTTACAAGGGCCAGCCAAATAGCTCAGTGGATTAAGGCACCTACAAGCAGGCACAGGGACTGGGGGCTGCCCTCAGGCACACTGAGAAGGCAATTGAGATTTGGCGAGGTGGCACACACCTGTAATCCCAGCACTTGGGAGGCTGTAAACAGGCAGATCACTGAGTCTGATCTAGTAGTGAGACCCTGAACACCCTATAGACCCTTCCCTAAAATTAAAAAAAAAGTTACAAAACAATTTATATACTATAATACCATGATCTGTAAAGGACACACATACAGGTATGTGCTTAAATGCATTCAAATAAATGTTAAAGCTATACTAAAACCTGAAGCAAGTATGCACAGAGGTTTGTGGGCATCTATTCCTTTCAGTCTCTGGGGGGGAGTGCAGTGAGAGCTGACAGAGAACAGCCTTACAATATGAACCTAAGCAGGAGTTACACTGTTTTCATTGCACTTCAGAAAACAAACTCATTGTTCAACCTTGCAACACACTAGCACCCCCATACACAGGGCTACATTTTCATTCTCTCTATTGCTCCACCTGCCAGGTGACATCTGGGCAATGTGACATTCAGAGCAGAGATATTCCTCATAGCACTTTTGCCAGTCTAAATTTCCCCTCTTTTCATTAAGGAGAACAGCAGGTTGGACCTCCTTGGTAACCTCCAAAAATCTGGCATGCCTAGCTCTCCAAATGTCACCTATCTATCAGCGTTTGTTTCTCTGCTGTTGGCAAACTGAAAAGCCTGGAGAAGCATCTTGGCCCTATCAGAGTGCTGAAAGGTTGGGCTATTTGGCAGATAGCAGCTATGACTATTTTAAGATGAATATTCAAAAAAGTAGAGATCAGGAAATATACTATATCTTCCTGCTATGTGATATTCTTTTATTTCCCCCTGTGGCTGGCTCAGCCTGCCCTGGGGGCAGGGCTGGCAGAGCATATGGTGGTCCCAGGGGTCAAACTATGGTGTCTATAGTTGCCTAAGCTTATCTAAGCAGGCACTTTTGATCCCTGAGCTATCTTGATGGCCCAAGCTATCTGCTATTCTGTACTGCCTTCATTTTTCCTAACATTTTTCCTTATTTAACATTCCTGTAGAAGAGAACCACATGAAGGGTAAAACAAACCTACCCTCATCTGTACATACATGCACATATGTTTTATCATATGCACAAGTACACAGTGAGTATGTGTGTATGTCTATGTGGTTTGGGCCAGTGGTACATGTCTGCATGTATTACTGTGTGTATACATATATATGCTTGCAGGCTGAATTCAGCATTAGGCAGCTTGCTCTTGCCTGTTATGAAAATTATCTCATGCAAATGGGGATTAGGTCAAACCAACCGCCTTTCCTGTCCTTAATGAGACCCACTTCAGCACTGTTGCTTTGTTGTGAAAGTCTCTAGGTTAATTGTCATTTTCCAAATAAATAAAACTCTCTGTCCTAAAAATAGCGCTAGAGATTCAACTGAGTGGCTTTTAGGGCTTTCTTTTCTTTCCTCTCCCAACACATCCTTGAACATAGTTTTCCATCTTAATGAAGTCACGGCCTTTGTGAGATTAGAGAACCTTGTTTCCTTTTGAAGGAGCAGTAAAAAAGAACTCAGCACAAACTGTTCCCTCTCAGCTTATAAACTGATTAATTGCCTGCCCCTGGTGCTAAGAAAAATGTGTTCAGCTTTAGCACTGTGAACTGCACATTTTTGATCCCCCTTGTCTAACTGGTAAAGAAGGTGAGATTTACATGCATGCCGATTTGCTTCTGACTTGGCTTAGGGAAGTAGACAGCTCAATGTGGTGCAAGTGATCAGAAGGGTTAACGCTATGGTTCCTTTCTGCAGTTACAGTCTCCAGGGAGAGCAATCTGGTGACTAATTTATATTCTAAATAGAGAACAGCTGCTTGTTTATGCAACGCTAAGAAGTGCAAAAATACGGTAACAGGGTGATGAACCCCCCCCCCCAACATCCGGTACTGGCGACAAATGGTGTTTTGGCACACCTTCAATCTGTTCCAGAGTGGCACATCTGGCACGGTGAGGGCCTTGTCCAGAATTGGTCTCCTAACAAATGACATGCCAAAAACTCTTAGCTCAAATGGTACTTAGGCCCACTGCAAATCATTCAGAGATGAACTGTTACACTGATCTGCAATGATCCAAATTAAAAGGAAGGAAAAGGACCTTTAAAGGAGGAACAAAAAGATGAAAAATATCCTAACAAACTCGAAGGACTCCTACCCTTGAACAATATAACACGTGTTTATGCATTCACTAAAAAAGCTCAAATGACTCCAATTTGCACACACAGCCAAGAAATCTAACATCAACTATAATTTTAGGCTTTCAGACTGTTCACTCAAAGAGTAGGGTGAGATAATGGTATAATTGGTACTGCACTCTCTGCACCTTAGAATATGCCTTTTAGGGTTTGTGTGTAGCTCAGATAATTCATTTGTTTTTAGTGACTGTTTCATTTAAACCAAATCCTGGGGTAAAATATGTTTCTACGCTCCTCAAATTAGAACTTTCAGGAGAAAATAATATGACAAAATATTACTTCTGGGCTTAGTTTATAAAATAATGTGATTTTCATTCTTTAAGGTCTTTCTGTCTCTCTTCTCAAGTCCTTCACCTGGCATCTCAAAAGATGCCATGTTTCTGGATGGAGAAGCCCTGTGCCACAGATTTGGGACAGCTTCCTGCTGACCCCAGCATGAAACAGGTCATCACTCCAACGGCTGTGTAGGACCCAAATTGCCACTGAGTTCTGTGACAATTTTCATAAAGCGAAGAGGAAATGTTTAGCTCTTAAGTCTTTGTTTCATGTTCATCAAAATCCCACAGTCTTTTACTCCCAAATCCTCTCCCATCTGTACTAAATCATTAGTTTTCTAGGATTTTATCTTCAGTTGGAGCAAATGATTACTCAGAAATTGGACTCTTATTTTATTAAAATAAATGAGCAATAAACAATGAGGTGAACTGCACAAGAAATAGGCTTCTGAAAGATAGAACAGTGATTTCAGAAATTTCTGAACTAGGGGCCTTGCGAGTTAGCTTAGTTGTTTAAAGTGCCTGCTGGGGCAAACCTAGTCAGGCGCAGGGGACTGCGATTTGGTCCTCAGCTCTACATGCTGCATCAGGCCCACCTTAAGGGAGCCTGAGCCAGCCAAAAAAAAAAAAAAAAACCTTCTGAGAAATTTCTGAACCGTGGTATACAAGGCATCCTAGTGAAGTTATTAAAAATGTAAAGCCTAAACACATTATTGATAAAAGTATTCATGCACACCATTGCACAAAGAAAACCATCTTAAACAAACTAAATTGGCTGTGAGAAAGGTAATCTAAAAATGAATTATAATGGCAAGCATGACTTGCAGCAGTTGAAAACCAAACACAACTAAGAGAACACTGATTACAAGACTCCTAGCAGGCAGAATGTGTGTACGAATATATGCACGTGTGTGGATGTAAGAGCTGTATAAGCTTTTAACACAGCCACTTCCAAATTTTTAAGAGAAAATTCAATTTGAGTCCCATGTGTATGCTTATCTTGTATATATTTAGTTTATTAATATAAAACTTCAGTAAGTCATGATAGCTACAAGGATAAAAAAGAAATTCTAGTATTATACATAAACATAGATTGCACATGACATTATGTACTCACTTTTTATGAGAATTGTAATTGATCCGAATGTCCTCTGTCATTGAATGTCCAAGTTTCCTGAATTGTGTTTGCTTGTTTGTTTGGGCTAGTAAAGCAGGCACCCAAGAAAATACTTTTGATCTTTTTTTTAAAAATAACTCTTCCAGAATAATGGCTAAAATTTGTCAAATACACAGTAGAAGCCAATTTCATAATCACAGACATGAAGTAGATCATTTGAACCTCATTTATTATATTTTTGAAACCAGCGTGTCTAACTAGGCACAATCACTATCCTATATTGACACATAGCATCCCATTCCATTGCCCCTACTGCCTTAGTTCAGAATACTCTTGCATCTTGCCATTCCTTTGACTTCACTGTAGCTATTATGAGTTTGTTAAAATAAAAATATGATCAAATCATTTCTCATACATGTGATGATTCTCACGATAACAATTCTGTCCTTAATGTGATTGCAAATTCTCTTTAGAATTGGGTCAGTGCTTGTATCTCCAGGCTTATCACAGATATTTTTGCCATGCTTACACTTTAGGCCTGTGCAGCAAGAAGCGATTATCACTGGGTTCACAATGTCCTTTTTCCTGAAAATATCCCCAGCTCCTCACTTTTCCCTTAAATTGGCTTATTTTTTTCTCTAAAACATATACCGATATTTTTGATCAAAATATACCTCAGTGTCAGTTTCAGGCTCATTTACCTGAAATCTCATCATCTAAATTGGACTAAGTAACCTACCCAAGAAGAACTATGACCTAAAGGGCACTAGAAAATTGACCAAGTCCTCTTCACTGGTTGAACAACTTGATGAAATCTTCAAGAAGAATATTGCAGTCTTTTTTATTATATAATCTAGACCATAATGGTTTAATTTTAAGATGTCATTTTTGAGTTGGTGGGATGTAAGGAACAATCACCTGTTTGAACTAATTCTTTGCTCTAAAATAAGAGTATTCAAAAAGGTCAGAAAACAGGCTTGCAAGGAAACAGTAGATCTGTGGCTATCAAAACTATCAGCATCG